AAGAAATGTCAGGCATAAGAAGCTTCTTAGTTGCTGATTCCCCCTCTGTAAGCAGGTACAGAGCCCACTCAGCTGAAGCCCTGTCCTCTGCTTTCGCCTCCTGCTAAGCAGCTAAGTGCCAGGCTAAGCCTGTGTAAAGCAGCCAACCCAGTCTTATCTGTGGAATGCTGGGCACCACTATAGACGATCACTTCTGCAGGGAGGAATCTCCATTACCTCAAAGCCTCTGTCTCCTTTTACTGTCCCCTGATGCCCCTGCTGTAAATGATTGCCCTTTTCCTTGCATCTATCCCCTGCCTTATTTTGTATATGCTTTCTTGAAAGCAGTACAGTAAGCAGTTTGGGATTTGAAGCAGACCAACTTCATGATGGAGAATAACGATAATGTCCTCTCATGTGGTCTCTGGAGTTTTTTGAGCCTTTGCATTTTATAAGGCTGCATGCTTTTGGGTCTGTGGTCAGAGGCATAAGCCTGGCAAAGGCATAAGCTCACGAGTCTCAAGTTGTGGTGTTATTCCTTTTTCTTTCCCCCTACAATGATTTAAAATGTTCCAGTTTTTTTTTATTTTTATATTTACTTTATTTCTGTTAAGAAGGCACCATCTTTTGAGATGTTATACAAGCGGAATGCAAAGTAATGTCTCAGATTCAAAACCAAATGAGAGCCATTTTTAGATCCAATGCATAGACATACCCAAGAAGTTAGCGGAGTAGCATAGCAGTGTAGTCCGGTTCTGGGACATCTTATACAATTAACAGACAACATATTCTGCTTGTCACAATTATGCAACCAGATAATTAAGATATACTCCTTACCTCATTAGTAGTAACAATGCTGTACAGTGTATTAGTTTACACATTAAATGTTACTGGTGCAAGGACAAATATTGCAACAGTTGTTACCCTACGTCTGCAGACCGTTGCTTTCGCTAAAAGTGGTCTTGGGCTTGGATACCAGTACCAATCCACCTTGTTTTGCTCTAATTCATTCCCTAAGTCTTGCAGCATTGAGCTCCAATGCTTGACTCTGTCAACCATTGATCATAATGGTGAGCTTCTGCTCTATGCTGATGACTATAAAGCTGTCATAAAGCCACTCAGGCACGGTAACCACAGCAACTAACACGTCAGTAATTTCAGTGTGGTTTGAAGTTGAACCAAATAAATCCTTGAGTGATGTAGAGCATTTCTACTCATATAACCTCTGTTCTGTGAAAGCTGCAGAAGTATGCAGAGATATGATGATACGTGGCGTTTATAGGAAATGTTTGTTATGGTTGTTGGGGTATTTTCTTAAAGTATTAGCGATCAATGATTGGCAGCTTCTCCCCTAAATTCAAGCACATTTCATCATATTTTGCAGTGCAAATGTAGTCTATGAACCCTAAGGTAAAAAAAAAAAAAAAATGTTTCACCAAGCCAAGTTAACAGTAGTTTTGCTTAAGGTAAACACAAAGCTAAACAAGGCAGAAATCAAGATTCCAACCTTGATTGATGCTAATTTAGATGTACTTTACGTATGTATTTTTGTAAATAAACTATAAAGACCAGATAGGAAACAATAGCTTCAACTAGGAAGAGATTATTTGCAGATGTGAGTCCATATAGAATAAAAGAAAAGAAGCTCAAGAAAAGTCTTAAATAACCCTGTTTCTGTAATGAGCTCAGATCTTGAGTCCCAGGTCATCAAAAACCCTAAAAATGCTGAATTAACCCTTTAGTTTAGTGCCAGATGGTGATGTACATCACATGGCAAATTTACAGCTGTTGGCTAGCAGCGCTGTGTACAAACATTATTGCAATACTAAGAGACCATGTTTTTCTTTTTTCTGGATTATGTGCTTCAGCAGAATATTGAAAATTCTCTCTTTTAAAGATGCATCCCGGAATCTGCCTGTGACCTGAATCAGACCTTTTACTGGAATATTTAACACACCCAATACCAAATCCTGCTCTTTATAGCACTCTTTGGTATGGAAGTCCTTACTGTGGGTCTTGAAGCAATTTCATATTTAATTTTTTGTCATTTCATAAGAAAGTCTGAGTTCAGGAGTTGAGCAGCCAGTCATGTTAATTGCTTATACATACTGCTAACACATGAAACTGTCCCTTCAAAATCCTTCTCCATGTTTAAACTAGTAAAACTCCCCAGAATATCTCCCTTGCTTAAAGCGGTTAGCCTGCCAGGCTTTTTTATACTCAGAAACCAGGTCGTTGTAGGTGACCACAGACAGTGCCGCAGACAGGTGGGCGCTGATTGGTCAAATCTACATGCGTTCTACACTATGCGTATTTCCTGTTTGGTACCTGACCGGCTTGTTTTGTTTTCATGAACACCATTGTGGAAAACGACTCGTGAAGATGGACCAGCTAGAAGAGCGAGGTCCGTGAGAACACTGGGGCCCTTTTTCCACCTGGATCCCCGCTCCATGTCCTACCGTTGTCGTACAAACTTGCCTCTTGCGTTTTTCCACTGCCTCACGACCTCTGTCATATCGAGACCCACAGCTAGTTTGTGATTGTCCCTCTTGCGTTGTGGCGTGGAATAACTTAGCACAGACCACGCTTCAAAAATTGGGCATAAATCAAAAATATCTGCATCAAGCTCTCTATGACACACTGCTGTTGGGAATATAACCTGCCCTTAATGCTGCATCATGCACCACTACTCTCCTGTGTCATTTTATTGTTTTTAGTGTCAACAATAAGCTAAGTGTTGACCATATTCACATTGTCTGAGTTATGTTTTCTCTTGAAGACATGTATATCACTGCTTGCTGTGGAAAGGGATTTATCATGAAAACTGACTTTGTCATCACCACAGCTGCAGTACTAGCTGCTGAGCTGAAGTTCTTTTAGTTTTTTAGAATAAGGCCAGATTCTCTCATGCATTTGTGGACAACAAATGCTAGCTTTATGATAAAAAAAAAAGGTAGAGTTCTGTCTTTATATATTCTCTTGGTTTATCTTTGAAATGTGCACATTCCTCTGCAGAGTGAAGTTATTAGGTCATCTATGAATCCAGGTATGAGTTTGTGTTGTGCAGAGGGACGGAACTCTCTTTATCTTGTCAAGTTCCACAGCTAACAACTTTGTTGTTTCAAGAGCGATGGCGTGCTGTCATTACAACATTTGTGGTTTCACCCGAGTGATAGTTTTGTCATCAAAGAGCGGAAGGGTTGAATTTCTCTGCACAGTCTGCAGCTGCAACCTATGGTTAGATTTCAGGAGCTGAACTTTATGCATCTGATATGACTGCAAGAGAAATGCTCAGGCACTGTGCCGCTTTACTTGGGGAATGTAGAAAGATGATTTGAAGTCTCCATTGATTAATAAATGCAAAGCTAAAAAAAATGTCTACCATCACACTGTTTTAGCCACAAAATATTGTATAAATTTACCGTTTTTCTATATATTTTTTTAATGCCTTAGTCTTTCCTTAATTATATTTTTGTTGATAATTCCTTAACATGATTGTATGTACTTCATGATTCATTAACTCTTGAGATTTTTGGCTCTTTAACCTGGATAGCTCAGTTGCCGCTTGTGTCTGTCCAAACCCTATCGCCCAAATAACACAGATGGGTTTTTCGAAGAAGTTTAATCTTATTATGGAAAAATTGTAACCTTAATTTTCATTTCTAAATTTCTCTGTAGGAAGGAATACCTGATGAGGTCTTAAAATGTGATTGTGTTAAGTTATTAGACTTATTACAATGACTACATTCAGTGAAAATAATGAAAAATGTGAAAATGCAATCATATTTCAACTGTAGATCTATAATTGCATATGACCGGTGTGCCAAAAAGAATATTACTCTTAAAAAAATAATTAAAAAAAACAAACTGACATATATTCATAAAATGGTACTGAACTACAGCATTATTTGTTGAAGTGAAGCTTTGCTTTGAAGAGGTGCCAAATAGGCATTTTAATTATATTTTGAAACCTTTATCCAAACATTTTTTTTCCTAGAATTTGCACTGCAAATGTACAAATAATGCCAGGAATATTTTGGGGTTGGAAAACATCAATTTGTTCCTTTTTTATTATTGCATTGATTTTTTACATGTTTGTTTGCTTTTTTTTTTCTCATAATAGCTAAGAGCAATACAATGGCTACCCTTTCCCTGGCTCAGAGCTAAAGCAGTCTGACCTTAAATCAGACTCAACTTTTCCGGTTTTAGGTCAGTTAGAGTAGCAAAAATCCATTCTATTTGCTAAATGTTAGGAGATGTTTTTTTCAAATTGAGTTGTTTGGATTCATGAAACAATTTTGATAGAACTGTGTTTTTAAATGTAACTTGGCTTACACAGTTGTTTTTTTATTTTTTGTCCATTTCCTCCTGACTGAAGTGGTCTGATTCAGATTTTGGTCCAAGAAACCATTTCAGCTCTGGCGCACATCAGGGAATGAAGAAAACGGTGCCGCCAACCCGTAATTCACTTTTAAAATGGTGCTCCAAGGCTTTGAGGTTTCCCCCTTTTTGATCTCTTTCTCTATTGCCTCTGGAGTAAGGACCTCTTCCTAAGGCAGTAACTTCAAAAGTTCGACAGCTTTTGTACTGGGGGTCGATTTTCTCATTTTACATTAAAACTGCTTCCTCTCAAGGACACAGAGAGCATCTCCCACCTGAAGTGCACAAGCGCTGGACATTCCAATGTTTACTCTGCCAAATAATGAATATATTACTTGAACTAGTGCTGCATATTTTATCAATATGGCTGCATCAATGCATAGTTGAATACAATATTTATTAGTATATGACAGAGAATGTCAAATTCTGCAAGCCATTGACATTTATAGCTGAATAGATATACTATCTGAATCACATTTTGTGTAACCTTAGTTTAAACATATGGCAGTGGCACCTATAATTATCTGACAATGGTATCTAAATGAGATGATTTATAACAATTTTCAAATGCATAATAAGCTTCTATTAAGCTAAACCCCTCGTATTTGATTTAATGTGATGGTTCCTTCTGTCATCTTCAGGTGCTGTGTTGTGAGACCGGTGGCGGTGGACGTGCGGCATGCTGAGGCCACTCCCCCTGGTTCAGGATGAGTGTCAGAGATGGCGCTGCCACCATGGCAACAAACGCAGGTGGAGGAGGAGGGGGAGGGGGGTGTAACGACCCAGATGACCGTATGTACCTGCTTCAGATCTACCCGCGGCTCTCTGCTCAACCCTCCACCTGCTGCCACCTTCGGTAGGTACCCCAATCTGGTGGAGTTCAAACCTTTATTTGACTAGAATGATAGGTCAACAAATAGTGGTCTTTCTTTTAGAAAATGTTTCTTATGAAGTCTTGTTTGCTGGCCTTCAGAGTGCAGAAGAATGCAACAACAGCCTCTGTAATCTCAGATGCTGCTGCAACGCTGGGGCTGGACCCCAGCCGCCTGTATGTTTTGGCAGAGGTGAAGGAAAGCGGCGGTGAGGAGTGGATACTGGAGGCCGGAGACCTGCCTGTGCAGAGGGTTCTGCTCTGGCCCAGGAAGGCTCAGGAGGAACACCCTCAGAGCTTTGGCTTTTACTTCTTGCTACAGGTAAAACTTCCAGATCTGTCATTGTGTTACTGTCAGAGTGAGAGCTTAGTGTTTCAATGTTTGATTGTTGCATGGTGCTTCCTTCTCTTCTCTTCCGCTTTGTTGGTGACAAGATGTCAAACTTGCACAATACGTTTCACATTAATAGGAAACAAACAAAACAAAATTTTACGTGCACTTATATACATACACAGCTTGTATTTACATGAGGGAAGGAAGTGCAGATTTGGAAGGTCCTTGCAGAAATCTGGCCATTTAAGTTTAGCTCTTTTTGTTTTATTTTTTCATTTTTGTCCAGGAGAGGAACCATGATGGCTCCATCCGTTATGTTCACCTTCCACCTTTGTCCAAGGAGCAAGAGGTACAGCGGCTTGCTGCCAGAGGCTTCCTTCCCCCTCCCCAGGATGACTTTGCAGACCTTTGCAACCTCCCCGTCCTCAGTGAGGACAGCATATTGAACAATCTCCGCACGCGCTTCTACAAGAAAAAAATCTACACCTATGCAGGCAGCATCCTCATCGCCATCAACCCATTCAGGTTCCTGCCAATCTACAACCCTAAATACGTCAAGATGTACGAGAACCACCAGCTGGGAAAACTGGAGCCTCACATTTTCGCCATTGCCGACGTGGCCTACTATGCTATGCTCAGGAAGAGGGTGAACCAGTGCATTGTCATCTCTGGAGAGAGTGGCTCAGGGAAGACCCAAAGCACTAACTTCCTGATCCACTGTCTGACGGCGCTCAGCCAGAAAGGCTATGCCAGCGGGGTGGAGAGGACCATTCTGGGTGCTGGACCTGTCCTGGAGGTAAGAGAGAAACTTTTTTGTCATAGCGGAAGCTCAAAGATGCATAATGTGTAGTAATGGGATCCAATTGGAGGAATTGATGATTGCCTGTTAGCAGTGATACACATTACTCCTGTTTAGTTATAATACTTTAATGCATCATAAGGCCCTGCAGCAACACAGAACAATGTTTGGTAGATTTTTAATTCCTCTTGAACTTTTTTGTACATTTTTTTATGTACAGCTCCAAATATGTACTTTTAATTAGGTTGCTATAATATGAACAAACAGAAAGAGGGGAATAATTGCAAAAACGAAAGAAATGATGCCTTTAGGGCTCATACATTTCTATGTTTGTCTCATCTAACCAAAGCAAATTTTTTTTACATTTGCTGCCAGATTAATGGAGTGCATGATTACTGGTCTCTAGGCAGGTTATACCTCCTGAGCTTTAGATCCCATGTTAACTCTATCCAGGGTTAACATGGGCATCACTTCTTAGAGTTCTCCTTGCCTTACCTTTTACTTTAGGTGGACAGCCATGTTGTGGAAAGGGTGCAGTCCTATGTTTTATGACAGGAGAGAGTAGTTGCACTGGATTTTATTTAGGAACATCAGTTAGAATGCAGTAGATTAGCACATTTGTTGCTTAGTTTCAAAAAATCCCAATAAAATACAATGACCCTTATCGTTTCTATATGACAAGATGTATAACACTTCAAGATGGACCAATACTTCAGCAGGATACTTAATGTGTTTGCTGTCATTTTAGTTTTACGCTTAGTTTGAGTGTGTTTCCTCGAAACTGACTCATCAAAATGCTTAGAATGTTGTATTTATTAAGCTATATTAAGAGATCATTGATAAAAGTCATAAAAATGAAAGTATGAAAACCTAAAGAGGCCACTGTCTAAAAAGAAAAGAAAGGAGGAAGTGGCTTTATTAACTCTTTCATAGGCTGTTTATTTGTACTTTTGTCTCCTTTTCAGGTAGAACTAAGGGTTTCCTATGGTGCTTTCTATGCCAGCACTAAACATGGCTTACATGTTGTGAGGTTTCATAGTTAAAGTCAGGTGACAATATCTCTGCCTGCTTATCTTCCCTGAGAAATTACAAAGCTGTGCTGAGTGGCTATCAGATGGGCATAAATCAGCAAAAAGAGAATTATGGAAGTTTTTGTAGGACAGCATAAAACTATATGCTAAAAACAGCCTGGTTTTAATCATAACTAACAGAGTATTGTCATAGGTCATCTGATTAAGTTCACCAGGTTTTCTACCTTGTGATCAACCAGACCACCCTTTTTAGACTCTTAAGAATCCGAAATCATGAAATGAAACGTCTTACAACACTAGATTTATTCAAACAAATTAATTGCTGCTCAGATTGCTCTGCTTTATGTCGAGGATGGTTACCACTTTCTGCGTTATTTATATCTCAGATGAGACTTATATTCTTTAAATGTTTGGTTCCTTGTCAGCTCCTCTCGTTCAGATTGACGTCATGATGGATGCAACAAAGAACATGAATCAGACCCTCCCTCTAAATTTGGATCACTTCTTATATTATGGTCACATGTTTCCGCAGAAGTTTCTTCCCCTATCTGCCCATAAAAGTCTTAAAGAGTAATTGGAAATTTATTTTGTCAGATAAGTAGATAGAAAGAAGTTGTGCTCATAGACTGGAAAAGCGGTAATTGTTCAAGCCTTTGTCCTTGTATAATATAGTATTGTTGTAATTTGAGTAAACCTAGAGGGAAAACAGTGTCATTTGCATATAGTTCCCTTCAATGTCCTTCTCTTCCTTATTGTTGCCCTAAAAAAAAGCTGTACATTTAGGATTTCTCCTACTTTTTTAAATATAGTTACAGAATTTTTCCATGTCTATGATTTGTTTTCTCGTTAAACTCTTAAAAAGTCACATTTCTGTCAGTTTGAAATGTTTACATTAAATCCTTTCTAAATAAAGGAGGTGCTAAGCAGGCAGTCTGCTCCCTAAGTCTGAAGGGTTTACAGTGATCACATCCACTGAGACAACTAACCTCCCAAAAACTGTTTTTGGAAGCCGTGTTTGGAGGAGGGTCTGGATTAAACGTATCCTTCTGATTTGAAATCTGCAAACCACATCCATATTGAAGCCTCAGGGGGCCTTTCAGACATGATGCTGTATACATGTGCAGAACTTAACTCTGCAACCAGTTTTGACTGCAGAAGATGATGTAGAAGCATCTGAGCAGTTGCAGTTTCTGTGAGTGCTTCAGATGGACTAGGAGGCAATGGGACAGCCCAGTGTTTTTTGTTGTTGTTTTTAAAGAGATTTCAAAAAAAGAAAAAAACGGTGGTGACCAGTGTTCAAACTGTGATATTTAATTAAAATGAAAGTGTAACTAAACAGTAAATGTGTAGCAATGAGAAAAGAGATGTAATATGAGTGTTAGTCATGAATATGAAAGCAAATAGGATGTGGAAGGTAATCTGACCTGGATTTGACCATTCTTTTTTCTCCAAGAGCTGCATATTATATTGATGCACTGCAGTCATTGCTATGATCCAAAGATAAAGGTCTACTATGTATTTTCACGCCTGAATAGTTCAAAATGATTTTTCTCCCCTTTATGCCCATATCTAACCTAGACATAATGAACAAATTTGATAGTTTTATCATCAATTAACGTTTCTACAATGTTTTCCCTAAAGTTGCAAAGCTCCATACTCTTCACTAATGATCAGATTATCCGCCTGATAAATATGCAAAATTTGCAAGAGATCTTTTGAGCAATATTGATTTTGCCCCTTTATTCTCTCATTACTGTCAGCCTGGTTACCTTTTCCAATATGATGGTTGCCTTTCCTAGTTGGTTGATCTCTAGAATGCACGTTGCCATGTTTTATTATGTTAGGGGGTGTTATATGTCTGGGAATTAAGTTGGAATTAAACAAATGAAGATCTAAAATTCATGAAACAAAACCTCATATTTTGTACTCTATACAATCGCAGCAGTCTGGCTTAGTTTGATCGGCTCTCTAGCTTTGGGGAATTAATAACCCTGAGTGCAGATCTGAAAGCAAATCATAGTTCTTAGTTTTATTTCACAGTAATGTGACCAAAAAAAGATCCTTAGTCTGAAAAGCCTGACGTGGAATGCAGCTCATTTGATATACATAAGATGTTGCAGGGAATCAAAACCGTTGTTTGTTTGTTTTTGTTTTTTTTAAGTTTCTAGGAATTTATTCCCATTTTTTTGGAACCTGTTTAAGGGTTTACCACAAGCTGCCAAGCTTGAAATTCATACCCAGAATATAGAAATATTTATCCCAGAAGCAGTAACTTTGCTGCCATCCATCATCTGTCAGATTTCCATCTTCTCTCATAGATGCTGATGTTTCTGCTCCTTTCAGATGCATGGAAGAGAGCAGAGCTGCGGCCTGTCAGTGTCTGGTTGTGGATGTCATATTCAGGGATGAACGGGGGGGCATTTTAGTATTTTCCTCCTTCATCAGCACAGTTTTTGTCCCTTTGGCAGACTTGTTGCCACCACTGCTGTTTTTGGTATGTGTCAGCAGTCCAAAGGAGAGCAATGGGCTCTTATTTAGTCGGCCAGGCCACTGGAGGAAGTAGAGACTGAATTGCATCTAGAAACAGTCTTCCAATCCTCATGGCTATTGAATAGCTTTGCATTTTCTGCTGCCCTCATCATCAGAGAATGTAATGATGCCTTTAGCATAGAAACGTCAACTCTTTAATTGAGACTGGTGCAAGCTGTCCGTCTTATACAAAACAAGACTACCCTCTTCTGACATGTAATGTCTGAAGATTCTTTGCAGCATCTTTATTGGTTGGATTGCATACATCAAATTTTTCATAACAAATTAAATGTATTTACTTAAGCAGCATATAAAACGTTAACTTTTTGCTGATCTTTGCAGTCCTGCTTTACCAATATTTTACTGTACCTTGGAAGTGTATAAACCTTTTTTTTTGTAAAAAGTTTTTTCTTATTTTGTCAGATTACAAGAATATCAGCTTGTCAACCCCTTCTTTAGTGTGATGCATGGTGTGGGCAGTATTATTATGTGTGGAAGGCCGATTGTTCTTTAGGAACAGGAGAGCTCATTAGAATTGTTGGATCTAAATATCTTTAGATGCTCAAACCAATAGCAAAGCTGTGGCAGGACTTAGAAACTGTTGTTCATGGGTTAAGGTAGTTTGAAAGAAAAAATATTTGTTTCTATGCAAGCCATGATGGTGGAGGTATACAAGACTGGCAGTTGTTACTACAGCAAAAGTTGTTTCTATGAAATGCTTTTCATATGACAAGGTTCACTTTTTATTTGTCTGTTTGAAAAATTAGTCAAATACCATAAAATATGTTGAAGGTTTTGGTTATAACAGGCTATAAACATAGCAGAAATATCAAGGAGTTTGATTTACCGTTGCAAGGTACTATATGTGACATGCCTGCATTCAAAATATGAATAATAAAAAAGAACTAAAGTTTTATTTTTTAAAAGTTTTAATGCTTTTATTTCCTAGGTGAACAGATTTAGATATAGCCTCTTTCACACTGAAAAAAGCGGGTAAATCCGGGTTCTTCAAACACAGGTCAGCCTGCTAACAATCGGCATTTGGCTCCCTTCTCATTAGAGGGGTCTAACCCCTCGCTGGCAAGCTGCTTGGCCTCTGTCCCGCTGCAGTGTATGGTGACACCATCATGCAGGTAGCAGTGCGACAGAAATAGGGAAAGTAAACCATGAAAAGTAACATTAAGTTTAGTAAGTATTTGCTCTTTTGTCCCTCCGAATCCCTCCCACCAGCGCTGCTCCATGTGTATCGAATGTAAACAGAGTTGTTTCAGCTTGTTAGTTCAGAAGTGACTGGCAAAGTGTGTTGGCGTTCATAAGTTGCTTTCAATGGTATCACGTAATTTAGCGGATCTACCCGGCTCTGGTGTTCCCACAGCATGCCGATTAGAGCCGTGGTGATTTTAAAGCGGGTCACTTGCCGAGTTGTTTGACCCGGGT